AGAGTGAACTTGCTCGTAGGGTTTAACCCACGATTTATTTTTCAGGTTATTAGAGGTTCCAGTCTCGAAGTTGAGGATCCGCGGCTGGGAGACTATCATTCGTCTATTCATCTTGTGTACTTTTAAATAGTATTGGATTATTGGATAATGTTTTAAGGGGTCCTTGAGTTATGGGATTTCCGAATTGTAATTGTTGGAGAATCATTAAGTAATATTTATTTATTAGTTTTCTTCAGCGGTTTATTTATTCTTTATTATTCATCTTTGTATTCTGTGCTTGTTAAATACTTAAATTGTGTTGATATCCCTTGATTTTGTGCGCGGACTTGATCAATCCGTGTTCCAAAATTAGGGGGTATCACAGTTAATCCAAAATTCTGCATAATCTGAAGTCGATAGGCAATTCTTGCAAGGGAAGAGGTGACGATTGTCGTCTGGTAGGTGCAGGCTTAGTGTCCAGCAACTAGCTTGATGCTTGGTGGATAGGGGCGTGGTACCCAACGGCTGACAGATGACGGTCTGGTGGCCAGTATCTCGTTGGGTCCAATGATCGCCCTTAACTTAGGAACCTCATTGGGAATACAGACCTCAAGGGATCTTGAGGGACATTGAACTCCTTGGATCTGAAGGCCTCGATACATTCTTGGGTGTAGAAGGCCACCCTGATTGCACGAACGGATGGAGTAATGAGACTCTGTTGCTAGAGACATCCTTAGTAGTAGAGGCTTTACTAGTAGGTAGAGACCCCCTTGTTGGTGGTGATCTTCTTGATAGGTGAAGACCTACCCATTTATATAGGTGTAGAAGGACCATGTCTTAGTCTTCAACGATCAGGCCTTGGTAATTGGCTGCTGCCTGATATGAGATGGAGTCTGGTCTTAGACGACCAAACCTCAGTAGTGAGGGGACCAAGCATCATTAGATGGAAAATACCATATTGGACGGCCTGGGTCGACGTGCCAAATTTTGATTAGTGTCATCGTACACTGGGTGACATCATGCAACCCACTGTTTTGCCCCCAGTATGATGGACGGGTAACCAAGATGTAGAGTCCTGTCCTTATATAAGAACATGGAAACTCGTTGTCAACTGATGACTTTGGGTTGGTTTCCGTGATCGGAAACTTTCGTCTTGCCGTCCGAGCCAAGTCGTGTCGGGATAATTATTTCTTCAGAGCACTAATCGTTCCCACAGACGGCGCTAGCTGTTGATGCGGAAATCCTCACAACTCGGAACGATGGCGTTTACCTGCAAAATAAAGGGACGTCACCTCGAATGGCACCGGTGGGGTGCCGGCCGAGGACCCTCCGACGATCAAGTTAGTACTTGTAATCGTATCACATAATAATTATGTATATTCTGTTTAGGAGTTTTTTCTCGTATCTTCTTTGACGGCTTGGTGCCCTATTTATGGCTGTCGATCGTAATCAAATTGGTCCCGCGGGAGATTTGCTTGTGCGAGATAAGAGGAAATCGTCTGTTGCCAGATTTGTCGGGGATATGTTTTGCTCCTTTGACTTTCTCAAATTATGCCAAGGTTATTCTCACCCTGTTGAATCACGTCATCATTCATTATCCTAGATAAGAAATGTCATCATTCTTATCCGATAGAAATCTTTATTTCTGATAACGAAATATGTCGAAGAGGTCTGACGGCTGGTCAAGGTAGGTTATTTTTCCCTATCAATAACAACATAGGCGCGTTCAACAATTTACTTCGAAAGCCAATAAATATTTCAAAATTTTATTTTGTGTCTTGAGTTTTACCTAAGTAATTGGCGTCGCATTATTTTGAGACATGAACAACAATTTTTTTTTTTAGAATTCAATACCATTCAATAATTGAGTCAAAAAGAAATTTACAAAACAATTTTGGGAATTCACATATAAAGAAAAATGATAAACTCCTTTTGTTTTAACGTGAAATATCATTCTCGAAAAATATTTTTATTTTTCAATATTTGATAAAGGTTAAGCTAGGCCGAGGTTGAAGTCGAGTCCATCGGTGGGACGTGTAAAATAAATTGATGAAAATTAATGAATAAGTTATTTTTTTTTAAGTTTTAATATTTTCTTCTTTGAAAATATTTTATTCTTAATTTCTTATTTTATATTTTAATTTGTTTTGCAATTTGATAAAATAAGATACAATACTTAATATTTAATGCCAACGGGACAAATATGGCTCATAAACTCTTGAAATCTTTTGTGATCACATGGTAATTGTATTTAAGCCCCACTGATTTTGGCTCTTCGTTTGCTCTAATTGGTTAGTTTCTTTTGATAAATTAATTTAACATGTGATTTTGAACGAATTAATAGTTTATTCAAGTAAGTATTAAAAACAAGTATTTTAAGTGATGAATTAAAAACAAGTATTTCAAGGGCTGGGTATTACTTATTACTAATTAATAATGTTGAATGCTGAAAATTAAAAAAAGTAATAAAAAATAATTTATTTTTTAATTATCACTTAAAATCTTTAACATTTTAAAATTTAACTCCTAAAATTTTCAATTTTATCAAAAACACCACGTTTGTCTGTCTCTCAAGTTTTCAAATAGACACATACACATCCCTTAAAAAGAAGGTGATAGTTTCTGTTTCAACCAGATAACTCTCTCTCTCTCTCTCTCTCTCTCTCTCTCTCTACCCAAAACAAAATACGGGGTAATTAAATTTACTAAAAAAGAAATAATTTACTCTGTTTAAATCTATTCTATAATATAAAAGGTCCGTATGTATAATATATCTCTCTTTCTCTAAAATAAAAAATAAAATAAAAAAAATAAAAACTTGAGGTTCCAAAGATCCGAACATTTGTTTCGTCTTGGACGGTCCTTTCCAAATGGGTCTCCTGAAAATCTCTGTTTTCTTTTTCCATTTCCGCTAACTCTCCGCCATTTTTGCCTCTTTTTAATGCCCCACTATAATAATATCTATTTCCTCTCTCTCTGTCTCTCCACTCTTTCATATTTTTTCCTTTTCCTTTTGCCCTCTGTTCTATGTTTTGTTTTTTTTTTTTTATCTCCATCTTTCAAGGTAATACAAATTGTTTTGTTTTTCATATTGGGTCACTTGCTTTATCAACTCTATACATGTAATATAGAAAGATTCGATTTTTTCGGGTTTCTTTTGATCACATTGTTGTTTGCTGATTCAGATAGCCACATAACCATTTTAGTTTCGTTTGTATTCTTTCTATTTCCGTGAACTTGTTTTGTCTCTCAGTTGCGGTAATATTGCTTGTATCCAATGCATATGCATATTTATATTGATCTCTCTATATATACATATATGTGTATGTATTTTTGCAATTATGTAAAAGGGTTTGTGGATTTTTTTGGTCATATGCACTCTTTCATTTGTTAGCTTGTTTTTCGTTTTAAATGGTATCTGAAGCTTATAGTGCTCAAGCATCTTCCATATATATATATATATATATATATATATATATATTTCTTGTTGTTCTGTATGTTCATCTATTCAGCCTTTTTGATTGAAAGGTCTAGTATATGATTAAAATTATGATGTTTTGATTCATGATCAATCAGCTAGTGCACTTTTTTTCAAATTATAGTTTTTAAATTCCCTGGCAAGAGAACTTGTCTGAGTTCTTTTAGATTCATTAATATATATATATATATTTTTTAATTTATTGAAATGTCTAGTATGATAAAGATTATGATGTTTTGCTTCATGATCAATCAATTGATACACTTACCAATGAAAAAGGGTCTCAAATTATTTTATTGTTCAACCTTTGGTGAATTTTCAATCAGTTTCAATTGAAAAACTTGCAATATAAAATGTTTCTGAGTTTTTTTGGATTCATTTATTGCTACATGTAAATGATTTGTTTTTTTAAATTTTCTGCAACAGATTTAGGGAGTGAGGCTGTGTCTTTGACAACTTTTGCTAGAAATCATGGGTGTGGAGGTTGCGGAAAATAAGTCGGCCAAAGTTGCCGTTGAAACTGGAAGTAAAGAGAAAAGCTCATCTTTGAATGAGCAGCAAAACAAGAATGAGGCCATAAAGTTTGGTTCACATGGTTTAGATGAGCCGGTTAAAGGAGAAGCCATCTTCCCAAAGGATGCAGTTGATGAATGGCCTGCACCCAAGCTAACCTATTCCTTTTATTTCATCAAGTACAGATCATATGACGATCCGAAACTGAAAGTGAAGCTGGAGCAGGCTGATAAAGAGTTGCAAAAGAAGATCATAGCCCGATCTCAGATCATTGATAAATTAAGGGAAATTAGGGTAAGAAAAATTTGACAACATTTTTTTTTTTTTTTTTTTTTTTTTTTTTTTTTGTAATGTTTAGAATTGATAATTGATCTTTTAATATCTGAATGCTAAAATATATATTTTAAATGAACGAAGATGGGATACGCTCAAAAGTACTTATGAGTAAACTGAATTTTCTCAAGCAAAGTATTTCCATTACTAAATTAATTTTATAGGTAACATGTAGATATAATGAGAGGATAGAATAGATAATGGTAATAGAGAATGTGATGGACATGAGCCTTTTGACCTTGTTATATCCAGGATTATGTATAAGTGTTGGTAGTCCAGTCATCTAATTTCTAAAATATTTATATGTTGATTGTCTTTCAGATAGTATATAGATGTTTATATTTTCTTGTAAATATACTTTCCTTATCTAGTAATAAATGCAAATATCGCAAAATATATACCTTGAGTCAGTAAAATTAAGTTATTTAATCTGAAACCAAGTTGAGACTCTACTCAATTTAGTTTTTCATTTTAATCTGTAACTTATTATATTTGATCAAAATTAAGAGTGAATCAATAGAACAAGCTGTGGCTTTGTCAGGGAAAAAAAAAAAAAAAACACATATATATAGAACAAGCTGTGGATTCTAAATAAGCCACCGAAGTACAGTGAAACAACAAGTCATACAATTATCAAAACCTCTAGATGGTTGGCTTTGATTCTTTTTGCATTTATTTTCTGTAGTCAGATCGAGCACAGGTGGTTGCTCAAATGAAGCCTCTGAAAGTTGAGAATAAGCAGTTCAGAGAAATCTTGGACGAAAAGAAAAAGGAAATGGAACCTCTGAAAAAGGCTCTGGGCAACTTGCGTGGCCGAGAGAGGGGCGCTGGCCTATGCTCGTCTGAGGAAGAGCTTGATAATCTTGTGAGCTATAATTTTAAGTTTTTCGAAGTGTTGGAATTCATTTTCATGTTCAGTGCTGCGTTACTCATTAGCTTCATTTTCTATATTCAATATGAAATTTTAGTAATATAATTAAAACTGTAGTGATTCGTTGTATTCTCCTTTGTATCATTTCTCTCCATAATTGTTATTACAGATCAAAAGCTTGCAATTTACAATTCAACATGAAAGCATTCCACTTACTGAGGAGAAACAACTCCTTAGAGAAATTAAACAGCTTGAAGGTACGAGGGATAAAGTTATTGCTAATGCTGCTACGAGGGCAAAGATTCAGGAGTCATTGGGTGAAAAAGAATCCATTCAAGACCAGGTCAAAGTAAGATCAATTTTTTTTTTTTTTTTTTTTTTTTTTTTTTTTTTTTTTTTTTTTTATAGATTCTCAATGAAGTTGTATCATTTAAAGTATGTCATTTACTGATTTTCCTCTCTAGTCATTGCAAACTGGCTATTATTAATACCATGGTTGGTTTTTTTTTTTTTTTTTTTTTTTTTTTTTATTTTCTTTTATTGTATGTGGATTTTAATGCCATTGTAGCTCATGGGAGTTGATCTGAAAGGAGTTAGAAAGGAACACCAGGTAGTAAAGTTCAAGCGTGATCAACTTAAAGCACAAAAGGAGTCCATAGAGAAACACATTGCATCATTAGAGGCTGAGTTTAAAGTTGTGACACAAAAGCGGGATGAAGCTAAACAGTATCATCAGGAATTAAAGAGACAGCGAGAAGAGGGGGTACGTGGGTTTCCTTTCTTGTGTATAATTATTCTTTCTGAACTATATGCTGTTGAACTACTCCATGCTGGGGTATTTAAATTGTTTCTTTGGAGTAATGAATTATGATTAGGCCTCATTTGCCTTTTCAAGACTCCTTTTACCTTTATCAAGGCCTTGGCAGACCATTGCTGAAATGAGGCCCGTATTCTCAGGTGCTTTTCTGTTAGAAAATCTGCAGTTAATCAATTAAAATGTCTGAATTAATATACTCTTGTAGTTCGTCAAATGCAGGAGTAAGTTGCAGTTGTAGTATTTCATGGTGTCAATTATATGAAAAAAAAATTCCTTTCATTTCTTCTTCGTTGTCTTTTTTTTTTTTTTTTTTTTTTCCTTTCTCTTTTCTTTCATTTGGGCATTTATACACATACACGTGTGTAGTATAATTAATTTTCAGTTTCCTAAATTGCCTAGGCGCTACATAAGGTATGTAGTATGTAGTTGCTCAGAGAAGTTGAATTTCTTAGGTATTGCCAGGATGCTCCATGTTTGGTACTTTCCTGTCTTATAATTATCATTTGTTCTTTATATAGGTTATCATATTCGTTTTTTTTGTTGATTTGGTCGAAGCTGAAACAAGTCCAGTTTTTTTTTCCCCTTTTTTACTCTTGGCGTTGCCATGTTGGATTGTTCATAATAGTTATTAAAACAATTCATTTTCTTCGACTGTTAAGAGAATTTGTGTTTTAACTAAGACCATTTGAAATTTAAGTTAAAATTAAAAGAGAATTCATGTGGCCTACCCTTTCATGTGAGATTAAGCAAGGATGACGATGATTTATTTTAATTTTAAGTATTGAAAAAAAGAAAAATGTCCCATACATTGGTAAAACAGATTTGTTTACGAATGATGAAAGGGATTGCCTCTTTTTAACTTTCTGAGCAAGGAATACTTGTAAGAGCTAAGACCAATAGTTACTGGAAATTATATTTTTGATGTCATAACACTATGGAAATTCTTTGATTTCTTTTTCATTTTACCCATCAAGTTAATGTTCACTAACTAACAACTCATATGTCTCTTTGTTTTAAACAAATCCCTTTGGTCCAGCTTATGAGAACACCAATCCGGAATGCATAATCAACCGACCTTTGATCCTTACAGGCATTCTGTTTTAGTTCCTTTATTTTTTTTTTACCATATTGTTACTATATTCCATTTTGTTGTGGTAAAATGAAGAGTTGAATTCTTTTATTCTGATCTGCCAATTAATGATTCTGTTTTATATTATGTTAATTGATGCATAGAGCCAATGGCTGATTAATACTTTTGGCAATTTGCATGATGATATACTTTATGATGTATTTGGATTTTAAGGGATATAGTATATTTTTTGTTTATTTTTAATATTTCTCCATTAAAATTTTCAATTATGTGGTGAAACAAATTTATTTATTTTGTCTGTATATAAGAATTTTTGGGGTTCCTCAAAAACAGGCCAACTAAACTTTGCCACTGATATGCAAGGGAAGTTTTGATATTACAAGGGAAGAGATGGTCAATTGTATTAGAAGTAAACTGAAGGGTGGCAAGATGTCACTTTACTGTTGAGACATGAAGGTTGTAACGCCGCATGCATGGAGGCTTTAATTCTGTTTTTTTCCTTTTAATTTCTTTAATCACAGAGGCCAACTTATCCCTACCTAATTCACCCCAAGAATTTAATAAGGAAAACTGATGGGCGAGAATTCATGTTACCATTACGGTGTTTCATTAAATCCAACTTTTTAATTATTCGTGATTTACAGTGAACTAAACTTTTCCATTTGAAGTTATTGTGGGGATCTAGGTTTACAGTTCAATTAGTGGAGTTTGAGGTGAGTCAAAGGCTCAAAGCTTGTCAAATCCAGTAGCAGTGAAGTACCCATCTTGGACTCCTCTGTTCCTAAGCAAATGAAAAACTCCATACTTATCTGGAATTATTCTGAAGACCGAATTAAGAAATCAATAAAACTATATTAAACAAATATAGAGACTCAAACTTTTGAATTAATTGCTAATTCAAGGATTTTGTAGTAGTTTTGAGGTGACAAAATGCAATGGTAAGTTCAAAACTTTTATTGACTAGAAGTCATTTCGGAATAGAGTATTAAGTTAGCCATAGAATCATTAATGCAAATCATGTTTGTTGCTCACTGGCATTTGAAAAAGAAGTATTTCATGAAATTCAGTAACATATTGACTTATAGCATGACCAGTTGCAGGTATTTTGACGTTGGAAATGAAGATGCAGATTCTTCAGCACCAATGGGCCTCCTGTAGTTGCCATATTTTATTTTATTTTATTTTATTTTTGTTGTATACTTATGAATATTTTCCTTTTGCATAATCTGTGTCATTCTGTTTTGATCTTTGACATTTTAAGATGAGGAAATTGTCTTATCATGTTTTTAAACTTGGTTTATTGGAGATACTGTACGAGGATGTGTAATCCGTAACTTCATGTTACTCAGAATGTCTGCTATTATCAAAATCGTACACTTTTGAACATGGCCAAAGCTGTTGCCGCAAAGAGGGATGTTGAAGCCCTTAAAAATATTTGTGATACAGAGGTTTGTTGTATCTCTAGACTTCCTTTTTACTCCACTACTTCATAGACTTTATTAACTTATTTACTTATCCATTCTTGTTCTCTTTTGATTAGGTTGAGAAATTTATGTCCCAGTGGAGTAGTAGTAAGGCTTTTAGAGATGACTATGAGAGAAGAACTTTGCTTTCTCTTGACATGCGACAATTGAGCAAGGATGGACGGATAAGGAACCCAGATGAGAAGCCTTTGGTGTTACATGAGGCACCAACTCCCTCAAAAACTGAGACACTGGCAAAAACCAACGTAAGACGACCAAAAGAAGATTCCATTTCCCCTCCGCAAAATGACTCTTCCCCCATTCCAAAAGTCTCAAAAGAAGCAAGCAGCCAACTCCAGAAAAAAGCAAAAAGTAAACAAACAGGTTCAGGAACCACCATGGAGCCTCCTGATTTAGAAGACAAAGAAATAATCCCTGGATTTGAAAAACCAAAAAAGGATCCTCTTCCCAAGGTGAATGAAGTTGATGCAGCAAAGCTGAAGCAGAAGAAAAAAGAAGAGGAGCTGGTGAAAGCTAAGCAGGCCATGGCAAGGAAGAAGAAGTTGGCAGAGAAGGCGGCTGCTAAAGCAGCTATAAGAGCTCAGAAGGAAGCTGAAAAAAAGCTTAAGGAAATTATTGTTTCAGTTCTTTATCTCTTTTTAATTTGTTCACTTTCAATTCATAGCCATTTTTTAAACTGATACAATGGTGTTTAACTTACTACAGGACCAGGAAAAGAAAGCAAAGAAGAAGTCTGCAACTTCTGTACCTGCTTCTGAACCTGAGGAGCCAATTGTTGAAGCAGATGCAGAGGTTGCTGAACTGGAGAAGGCCGATGAAAATGTTGAGGCTCCAGTTCCTTCAAAGAATAGGGATCGAAAGGAAAATGCTCTGAGACATAGAAGTCGACCAAAAGGTCCGGATTCAATTTCAAAAATCATACTAAAACGCAGAAAGTCTACAAACTATTGGATGTGGGCTGCTCCTACTATTTTGGTGCTGATGCTTCTAGCGGTTGGATACAACTATTTTCTCTGAAGAAGCAAAGTTTTGAATTGAGAGGAATCCTTTGACCAACTTTGTTTTTGATGATCATGCGAGTGGCTAGGTCTGTATAAGTAAGCATAACTTATTCCTTTTTGTCTTTTTTTCCCCTTTTGACATCCAATACAGAGGTGGACTCAAATCTGATAATGTTGCTAGATCATGCAATTTAAAAATTTACTGGGGGACCACCACAGACATCTGGATTGGCTGGTGTAATTTGAAATTTTGACTTCAAATAAATGTTGTTATTGAAGCTTTTGCTTTAAGATAAATGATAATATAGAGCTAGATAGGGATTTTGATGATGATGAATTTGTTTGATATGGTTTATACTAGAGAACATAATTAGAACCTCATACTGAGGTCCATAAGGGGCTATATGAGGTTGAGGTGCATGTAACACAAATTGTCTGGTAGTCGATTGTTTATATTGATGCTCGTATGTGCACTTGATTAACAGAGTTCTTAGGTCATAGTTCTACATGATTTTATATTATAAATCCCTACCCAAATGATGTTCAAGAATAGGTTGCTATATATACTTCATTAATCTCATATTATTGCAAGCTACTTCATAATATTCATCTCTTAGCTTAGGAAAAATTGAACTCATGAATAGATTTTGCAGTTGGAAGTACTTCGTCTCAATTTAACTCCACACTTGGTGGGTTTAACTGGGCATTTGTTAGGTAGAAGCTAAGCATGTAGTAGAAAAGATAACAATATCCTTATAAAAATTGCAGGGATGACAAAGAACTGCTAAAATCCATGAACAATACATGTACTTTAACACCAGGAATAATAAGTGTGATGATCAGAAATAGACAGTAAAACAAACTCTATGATATACTGTTCTACTACATAATGTTAGACCTAATTCAATCTTGTTTGGAGAAACTTGGAATAGTGATTTTGCGCTGAGATGCAAAAGAGGCACCATTCCCTGCTTGCAATAGTGATATGGGCTGCTCCTGCTATCATTTTGGCACTGATACTTTTAGCGAGTGGCTAAGCCTGTATAAGTATATGCTAAATATAAAGCCAGATAGGGAGTTTGATGATGATGAATTTGTTTGGTATGTTTTATACTAGAGAACATAATTAGAACCTCATATGGAGGTATATACGTGGCTATTTGAGGTTAAGGTGCATGTAACACTAGTCTGTCTGTTAGTCGATTGTTTATATTGATGCTCTATGTGACAAAATACCATGAGTTCCGTTCAGATGAGGATCATTGTATGATTGTTGCATGTTAAGCTTACATCCAGAAATAGACTGACTAGAATTAGGAAGCTGAACTCATCTATTGCTGTTAACTTATTCATACATGCATAATTGCTATGTTTGTTCAATTCACCCATCCATGAGCAGCTAGAAATATCTATGCTGCTACCAAGGTTGAAAGTGGAACTACTGAGATCTGCTACAGAAACCAAGGATAAAAGAGAGTGTGAAAGTTAGGATCCTTTTGGAAAGAGTGCTTTCCATTTCGTATACATCTATGAATGTATATTAAACATCCTTATTTTCAGTTGGAAGTGTTGCGGCAGAAAATGAATCTCTGACCTTCTCTTCCATCTGATACAGTCCAATGTGTTCAAGAAGCCTTGGGACTGGTGGTGTATTAACCTCCAGCAACCCCTCTAGAATGTGGACAACACGCCCCATGGATGGTCTGTCCTCCTCATCATCTTGAATACACCAACAGGCAACTCTGCAAGCTCTAGTGATCTCCTGTGTTTGCATTCCTATCCAACTTGTAGTTGAGCAGACTAAGAACTTCATCACCTCTACTTAATATTTTCATGACTCGAGTTGGAAAGTAGTCATCTGTTTCATCATACTTCGTTTCCCAGTTCCTCCTCCCTGATATAATCTCGAAAAGCATCATCCCATAGCTAAAAACATCAGCTTTTGGAGTGATGGGTATGCCTGAAATCCATTCTGGGGCAAGATAGCCTCTGGTTCCTTTTATGGTTGTCAGAACACGGCTGAAGTCCCTACCCAGAAGCTTTGCCATACCAAAATCAGAAACCTTAGGATTGAAGGAGTTGTCCAGTAGTATGTTTTCAGGCTTAACGTCACTTCTCATGGAGGTAGGCCAATCCTCTTGCTCTACCAAGTGCTATTTGATATCTTGTTTTCCAGTCTAGAACTTTGGAATGCTTTCCAAAGAGACGGCCTTCCAGAGAACCGTTTGGCATGTAATCGTAGACCAGAAACCTTTCCATACCTTAGCACAAAACCCTCTTAGACGAACAAGATTAATGTAATGGATTGTTGCAATCATACTCACTTCTGCACGGAATTGCTTCTTTCCTTGGCTGCAAGATTTAAGTTTCTTCACAGCTATGGAAACTGAACTGGGTAATGACCCCTTGAAAACAGAACCGAATCCTCCTCCACCCAATTTTTCAGAAAAGTTCTTTGTTGCAGCCCTTAGATCATTGTACGTATAAACCATTAATGAATTATCTGATGCCTTCAGTGCCCCAGAAAATTTCCTCCTCCTCAATCTCCAAATGATGAGAACGAGCCCCAGGATAACACCCAAAGCAACAAATCATGCAGCACCACCCACAATGGCACCTTTGATCTTTCCCCTTGCTTTGCTTCTGATAGCTCTCAGCTCCGGCAGTGCCAGGCGGAAATGTAGATCTCTTCCTAGATTGTCACCAAACGAGAGATACTGAATGTTGAGCAAATTTTCTAGCCATATCGAACACTCACCATCGTAAGTATATGCAGTACAAGAACAGTTGTTCAAGCAAGCTAGTTCGCATTCTTTAGAGCTCCTAACTGTCATCGACACTGAATTTGCAGGTAGTCTTATGTTTGGAATCACTAGGAAGCCATCTTTTCCTCCTCTACTGCACTGTAAAGGGATTCTCCTTACACATCCACACGAATGATTGCCTGCAAGCCACTCTTGAGCGTTTCTTGGTTCAAATCCTTGAAGGCATTTACAAGTGGGCACAATAACACTCACCATATTCACCACAACAGGCATAAATCTCGCACTGGTGCTTTGGTCTAGCCCAACTCAATTCCCACTTTTGTTCATCATCACGCCACGTGAGCTGCCCGGATGAATCTATCACAAATCTTACTAGGACAGAGGAATTGGTTACTGTGTATGTGAAGTAGTTTTCATTCTCATTCAAGACATATGTCATATTGTGGTAGTTGCTTGCTAGCATATCTGGACCGAAGGCAGAAACCCGTCCAGGCCAAATCCCACAAGTCCAGTGCTTGTACTGTAATATTTTCATTTTTCATCATTTTCCATTTTTCCCAAATTTTTGTTATTGCAAAGGAATTTTAGTCTTTTACCGTTTTACGTACCGGGCATTGCGGTCGTGTCCGAGAGTTGTTTGGAGCATTTCATTGAGTTCAAGACTCTTTGAAATGAAAGGGACCATTTTGGCCTTTTTTTGTATTTTTGTTTTTCTAGCTGGACAGTTCCGTGTGGGACCCGCTACCGGGATTGTTGCATACGGGGATTTTAATTGGGTACATTTGCATCATAATCATTTTATTTAATGTATTTTATATGATTGTAATTTAATAGGTGTATGTATATGTACGTGTGTGGTGTAAAATGAAAGTAAAAGAAAAAAGAAAAATAAAAAAAAAGTGGTGGGACCCACCACTAGCTTTTTGGAGGCTATGAGACCACACTTTGGTCTCATTCTCATCCCCTTCCCGTAGGTTCTTTTTCTCTCTCATTTTCTCTTCTTTTTCTTTTTCTTTTTGATTTCTCCTTCATTACTTGAAATTTTTGGAAACCGTTTGCGGCAATTCGAAGAGTACGGCAAGATCTTCACATCCATATAAACAATTTCAATTTTACCGCACTCTAGGGATTCCGGTTTTGAGACTCAATTTGAAATTTTTTTGCTTGATTTGAGATAGGGGTTTCTAATCTACAAAATCTTGCACCTTCGTGAGTTAATTTTACTTAATTAGTGTCCTAACATGCTAATTTGTGTTGATTTTACTCTAAAGTGATTTAATTGTGTATATGAAGTATATGATTTTGTGTGTAGTTGATATTATGCAAATTAACATGCTTAATTTGAATTAATTGCCTTGAAAATGATTTTATTATTGTAGATGAAATCTAAGATTATATGTATTAATTAAATTGTATGAAAAACATGCCTATATGTAAATTTTCATGCCATGATGTTTGAGTTCTTACTAGAAATTGCTATGTAAAAGTATGTTAAATTGTGTAGTGGAAATTTATTTATTTACACAGTAATGTCAAAGTATGTGACATACATTCATAGCATTGGGTATGGAAAAAGAGCAAATGATTTGAAGTGAATGAAAAAGGGATTTTTGGGGACAAAGTTTTGATTAAAGTGATTTTTATGAAAACTCGGTCGCCACGAAGTCACCAAAGGGCTGTGGTGTTAATATAACCTAGAGGGAACTAGGGAAACACCCTAGCTTAGTTGAGCTATCTGGGCCCAAATGACGCCGCAGAGGTACCAAGGGTTAGGGACAGTAGCCAATCATTCTCTCGTGTCGCTGCGGAGTCACCAACGGACGAGTTATATTAACAGTTTGAAAAGTGATGGAATTGGATTTTGGAAATGGGGAGTGACATACATTGCATTCATGGACGGCATTGTTTGTTTTGAACTTGAAAAGTAATGTTGTATTATTTCCTGGCATTGCTTGACCCCGCTTCCTATTGTTGTATTCATTGGTTGGATTTACGGGGTCATAAGATGTGTGTTTTAGGCACCACTTACTGAGTAATTTTGCTCACCCCTTATTATTAATATTTTACAGGACATGGAAAGGAGGTGGCGAATGACCATCCAACATAAGTTTAGACGGGATTGGAGATTTATATTTTACTATTTTTGTTTTACAACTTTAATATTTTGTAAATGTAAATTTTGACTATTCTGTAAAACTTTAGTATAATTTGTATAATGTTGTAAATTATGAACTTTTGATTTCAGTTGTATTTCATGGACTGTAAATTGATGTAATTAGATTATGTTCCTTGTAAAGGAGTATGTGACTAAGTAGTGAACTGGCACTTCTATATATTTATTTTTTATTGGAGGGAATGGACTCTTTTTATATGTATATAGTTATTTTGGAAATTGGTATATTGTTTGCATTGTGCGTTGGGACATGATAGATTAGTT